ATATATATAGATGCTTTCCGCTATTGGCTCTTTTGGGAATCACGTTGTTAATACAGAAAATACTATTTTCTATCTGTCGAACTGTTATCTTTGCTATTTCCCATAGATTCAACAGAAATAAAGTGAATAAATTATGGTTGTTTTTTTGTTTTGTTTGTTTGTTTTTTACAAACAAAGTGCCTAAGGATATAATTTAAAAGTGAATAAAGCAAGAACTTTGAAAGACCTTTAGAAAGCCTGATTACTTGGAAACAAAATATAAAGAAATGAGAAAACTGTGTCCAATGTCCTGGCAAAAGTCTTGCTTCTCTTCCATTTTGACAAGACCTCTTGCAGCTCAGAGGAAGCTGAAGTAAAATCCTTTTCCCACTAGAAAGGAAATGAGCTCTGGGGGAGCTGGAATAAGCAGTCACATGAGTGGCAATAGCTTGTAGAGACATCTACTGTGGTTAGATAATACTTACTGTAGGTAAAAGCAAAAGATTTGGGAATCTTTAATTTCCTGTGTACCACTGTACAGTTTATGTGTGAGTGATCTAAACGCCACAGTACTCTGTATGTTTAGACTCTTTAGACTTTTAAACCAATATTTTATCTTTAATTTGCAACAGTGTTTTTTCTTGGGTATTTTGACTTCCAGATGCCAGTTTAGTTGTGACGTTTGACAGGATAACATCTGGAAGTTTGATACTCTGACACCTATGTGGGAGTGCATGGTACTGAGTCACAATTATTCAGTGTATCTGAGCAAAGAATGAACAGTGTGACTTCATCACAAATCACAGTAAGTTCAGTTTATTCAGTAGCCATATTTATACAATCAGCTCTGGCCTCTTGAGTGCTAATTAGACGTGTCACTAATTACATTTCTCCAGCTTGTACAATTTTCAGTTCCATCAGGTGTCAGCAATATAAAAACAGTTTGACAGATGTTAAAGTAAATTGCTTTACTTCAATTCAGTCATTCTGAAAAATATAAAAGTTTAATTAAAAATGTTTTAGTAGGTTAGAATTGCAGAAAAAAAACGTGTGAATATAATCAGGGACACTGTAACAGTTTACATTAAGGTAGTTGTTTCTTTGCATTCATATAAGTAATATATTCGCTCCTTATTAAGCAAGCATTTATGCCTTATTCTGCATCATGACTTATACCTCTAGTCGTGAGAAAGAGCTTATTTTGAATGGGGAACAGATTCTGAATTAGAAAGACCTCATTTAGAGTTATTTGTAGTTAGTTTTGTTACATAAGAAGAGATCATATTTAGTTAGTGCTACTAAGACTAATGTTGTGCTACTCACAGACTGTAAAGTTGGTACCTCTTTATAAAGCCGTTTTCTGTTTGGAAATAGGAGTCATTCAGAAAAATGTTGGTGTAAAGAAGTGGCTTACAGTGACTTTTACGGAAGCATAATCGCACATACCAGATTTTAAAAATCCCAGCTAATTGCTTTAAGAAAGAAGAAAAAAGAAGAAAAAAATGTGATTATTTTGAACTGTGAGTCATGCTAATCGACTCAAATGGACGCTAAGAATAAAAATATGGAGTTAGAAAAAGCTCAAAGGTCACTTATAGTAATTAGCTTTTGTACCTTAAAATAACGTGTGGCCTTTTTCTAGTTTTTCCACGTTGTGACTTTGTAATATCGCGCATTGTTCTTTCATAAACAGATAAAACTGATTGTATGACATATTCATATGATCATTTTTAGACATTCATGCTAAGATTAGTGTGTGCTACTTGAAAAAATAATGATTACACATTGTGGTGCAGTCCTTGCCTCTAAGTTCAGTGTTGAGTAATTGTTTCTCCTACCATCAAGGCTAGAGTTAAAGATAGAGGATCGCTGTATTTATAAATAACTGACTGCGGTCATTTCTTCCAAATATGAAGATGGGAGAAAATGCTCACAAGTTACTTAAAACTTAATAAGCTAAATAAATTTTTAAAAAAAGCCCCAAATGTTCCACTTCATCATGAGTCAGATATGCTGTATTATGATCATCGGTACACACTGATAAGATGCTGGGGCTTTACAGAATGGAGAGTGGTTTTACAACAGCTGCCTTGTATTTTGCAATATTTGTTACGTGTTTTCTGTAGCAAAGGCAGACCTGTTATTTTGGAGTACCCAGACCCCTGAACTGTATTATTTCAAGCAACACTGACTCACCGGCACAGTTAATTAACAGCACAGTTACATAAGCTAATTATTTTGCTAAGAAACTAGTTTTCACAGGAAAGCAACATTTCACATAGAAGTACTAAAAAACTGATTTTTGCAATCTGCATATTTACCGCATCAATAAAAAAAGGTTCATGAGCTCATATGAATGAAGTGTCTTTGAGCCTCACAGTAAGTCTTTGTACTGCTGCAGTGCTCTTCAGTTTGCTGAAGGTGAACCTGGGTAGCAACGCTGACAGACGGTGATGTATAGACTGTGTTTTTCCTTTTTTTAAAAAAATTATTTCAGGTTTTCAAGTGACTATTGGCAATACAGTGAAAGATTTTCAAAGCAAATCCTCCAAAATATCTAATCAGATATATGTGGTCTACTCATTCTAACAATCAGTGCACTTGTTTCTGTAAACTCCTTCAGATAAGATAAAGTGTTCATGGTCGAAGGTGCAAACGGGACGACTGACCTCTACTAATTCTTGACTACTCTGGGAGAATTGTTGCTAGCATTGTTGTGAGCCATAATGTGTCTTTTACATGATGTCACACACATTGACTCACAAATTCCTGATGTCCCAGAGGATTGTATCCTGAAGTAAGGAAGCTTGGTCCTCCTCCCTTACTGCTTCCTAGTATTGTTGTTGCATCCATCTCTTAAATGTCCACGTCAGCATTATGTGTGTACTTCCATATGAACATTTTAGGTGCAATTTAAAGGATGGCAGTAATGACTTAACAGTCCTTAATGGCCATTTGTTTAAAAGAAGTTATAATTAACTGAATGCATTTGCATTGCATTAAGCCCTCTGAACAGCAAAAGCAAAAACATGTTGTTATCATAGCAACAGAGAGAAATGGTTCATAAACCTGCTGAAGGAGGATGTGGAGTTTTTCCTGTTGTACAAAGCTTTTAACCAGATGATGGCATGTTTTTCTTTGCAAGTTCTTTAAAACCTACCATATCTACCTGGTCGTTTCTCATGTTAAGCATCTGGATGATATGCTGATGAAAATTGTGAACCTGACAATGAGCCACAGTTAACTTTGGATTTGTCTCTTGTGTTTTTGTGTATTTATAGGCTCGAGTCTGAAATCGGTGCACTCGAAAGTGAAGAGTCTCAGATTTCAGCCAAGGAGCAAGTTCTTCGAGAACGCCTGAAGGAGACAGAGCGCTCGATAGAAGAGCTGCAGAAGGTATAAAAACATGAAGTGATTCAGGCATTGTTGAATCAATACAGACTTACTATACCCCAGCCCTGCTCAGGATGTGCAAGTCTTCTTTTAGTAGTTCAACAGCTCATTTTAATTTACCAGCTGTGCTTTAGGTCACGGTAAATGGTATTCCGAATAAACTAACAAGTAAACAAACTGCATTAAAAGTGCTCAAAAAAGATGGTCGTGCAATGTGTGATGAAAATGTTTTTTGACTCCGATGATAAACAAGAAATGTGAGTGATCCCTTTTGCACTTCTGCATCGCTACTGCTATTTGACCACTGGAGCATGCCCATCTTCAGTTTCATATTGATTCTCAAAAATGCACTGTAATCAAACATTAGCTTTTGTTTTTGTTTCATGTTGACAATAGTCAGTTATAATTAGAGCTGCAGCTATGACCCAAGCACCTAACACCAGTCTTCAGTGGAGGAGTGCATAGTTTCTGAGACTGAAAGTGGCACACTGGGTTATGAGTCCTTTTTTTCCCACACTCATAAGGTTGTGCACTGTAGATTTATCCCCCAGGGTCAGTTTCTCAGTGGAAACTTCTATTTCCTGCACATTTTCAGGCCACATCAATGCAATCCTTGCTCAGTAGCCATTCTATTTACCACATTTAGCTCCTTAGAGTTTGTTCTCATCCCCAAACTTGTTGGACTCAAGTAGCACCGAAAGTAGTAAACACAAAAATACAGAATTGACTGCTGGTGCACACTTTCCCCCAAAAAACGAAGTTCAAACTTCTTTTTTTGTCTTTTCTCTCTTTCAGAGTCTGATGTCGCAGGATCAAGGTATGCTCAATGACACCCGTGCGAGCCTACAAACATAGACATGTTAACTGAAACTGCACAGAGTGAGGTGTGTGTGATGTGTGCATTTGTGTGTGTGGATAATAGTCTCGCTGAGGCAGGAGAGATGCAAGCCAGAGCTCGCACACACACACACACACACACACACACACACACACACACACACACACACACACAC